TGAATAGCACCGTCGTTAAGTGAATCTGGTTTTCCCCATGGACTTTGCTTGTCATAAGGTTGCAAAAGGGGATCGCATGACCCAGGGACACTGTATCTGTCATAAATGTGAGTCGGTGATCAAGCATCCGAATGTAAATCGCGTGATCATAAGGATGCTACATCGGTCGTAAGTCTGAAAATGGTCATAAATCACTTTTTTCAGTGCCGTTGTAACTTTGAATGGTCACTCAGCAAACTGTTGTAAGTCGAGGGCTACCTGTATGTACTTTGCGTTTAGTAAAGTCTATATTTTCCCCATTAAATTATTTCAGAGTTTTTTGTCAGGAGTAAGATTTCTGTCATGCTCTTCTTATTTTTGGATTTATTATACAGCATAAAGGTAGTGTCTGAACCGAGCAATGATACAATTAGATATGACCATTATTGTATTATGTATCAGTCAGCTCAGTTTTTGCAAACTATATCAGGAAGTTGCCACTAAGTGATTTTACATTCTTTCTTGGGATAGGAAAGATGCCTGGATTAAGTTGCAGGAACTTTGTCATGCAGTTTTCTGTTCTGTTTCTGTTTGGCATGATGAAATCTTGCATTCCTAAGGTTTGAAATGCGCCATAGCAGTTCATTTCATCATTTGGTATCAGCCTAGGATTTCTCTCATATAAACAACCATTCCTTTCCAAAACCCAGAAAAAAAGAACATAGCAGAGTGTGTCTAAAGTAAATGGCACACTCCATGGCCTTAATGGATGGAGCTGTTTTTCCTTGACTGAGTTTGAAAATGCTGAGTAGGTCAGTACATGGATGAAAAATACCAGGAAAATAAAAAATAAAAATAAAAATGGGAGCCAGTTTAGTGCTGTGATTAAGGAAGCCTAGCCTAGAAACCAGAAGTATTCTAGTCCGGCCTTAGGGATGAAAGCCAGCTGGGTGATCTTGGGCCAGTCATTGTTTCTCAGCCCAGCCCACCTCACAGGATTGTTAGAGGGAAAATAGGAGGAATGAATATTAGGTGTGTTCACTAACTTGAGTTATTTATACAAATAATACATCTAAAAAAATCTAAGGCTATACTAGGCCTAGTAGGAAGTTGACATATTGGAAGAAGGCTGTGGCAAACCACTTGCATACCATAGCCAAATGAATGAAGGAATGAATGGATGAATGAATGAAATCTAATAGCAATAGCACTTAGACTTATATACTGAGCTGTGGTGGCGCAGTGGTTAGAATGCAGTACTGCAGGCTACTTCTGCTGCCTGCCGACTGCCTGCAATTTGGCAGATTGAATCTCACCAGGCTCAAGGTTGACTCAGCATTCCATTTTACTGAGGTCAGTAAAATGAGGGCCCAGATTGTTGGGGGCAATATGCTGACTCTGTAAACCGCTTAGAGAGGGCTGTAAAAACACTGTGAAGTGGTGTACAAGTCTAAGTGCTATTGCTATATTGCTTCATAGTGCTTTTACAGCTTCTCTTTAAGCAGTCTACAGAGTCAGCATTTTAGCCCCCAAAAATCTGGCTCCTCATTTTACTGACCTCGGAAGGATGGAAGGCTGAATCAACCTTGAGCCTGGTGAGATTTGAACTGCCAAACTGCTGGTAATCGGCAGTCAGCAGAAGTAGCTAGCAATACTGCATTCTAACTACTGCTCCACCACAGCTCTTATACTTTATTTATTTATTTATTTAGTTTGTCAAACATGTACAAGATAACAGGTATGAGTATAAACATGAATATGACACAGGAAATGGATACGAATAAATGGGGACAATAGGACAGGGAGGGTAGGCACGTTGGTGCGCTTATGCACGCCCCTTACAGACCTCCTTAGGAATGGGGTGAAGTCAACAGTAGACAGTCTAAGGTTAAAGTTATGGGGGTTTGGGGAAGAAACTACAGAGTCAGGTAGTGCATTCCAGGCATTGACCACTCTGTTGCTGAAGTCGTATTGTCTGCAATCGAGTTTGGAGTGGTTTATCTTGAGTTGTATCTATTGTGTGCTCATATATTATTGTGGTTGAGGTGTATAATATATACTGTGTAACATGGACCAGAGGGGAACACTAAACCAAGAAAAATTTTACTTTTTCTGTTTCACAAAAAAGATCAGTGGTGAGAACTGAAATTTATTGCCATTAATTTTATGTTAAATGGCTAAGAATTGTTTATCCATGTCAGTGGTGGATTTCAAAATTTTTTACTGTCAGTTCTGTGGGTGTGGCTTGGTGGGCATAGCATGGCTTGGTGAACGTAGTTTGGTGGGTGTGGCAGGGGAAGGATACTGTAAAATTTCCATTCCCACCTCACTCCAGGGGAAGGTTACTGAAAAACCCCCATTTCCTCCCGATCAGCTGGGACTTGGGAGGCAGAAAATAGATGGGGGCGGGGCCAGTCAGAATTTTTACTACTGGTTCTCCGAACTACTCAAAATTTCTACTACTGGTTCTCCAGAACTGGTCAGAACCTGCTGAAACCCACCTCTGATCCATGTCCTTTTTCAAAACTTTATTTTCCATCCAAGGAAATCTGAGCTGTATGCTTCAGCCTTCAGAAGAAGGCTAAGATAGACAATTGACTTTAGTGAGAAAGATGGGGGCTGGTTTGGTACAAGACAGGGGGCATGTTCAAGGTCACACTGATGAACACAAGTCCTTTGTTAAATATGTAACCCCCAATTCATATCAGTTTTTAGCCATAAGCATAGAAACGTGGAGTGGTGTTTAGGAAGTCTGAGAGGGTACATAGAATCTCAGTTAAGTGCATTTCTGGAAATATTTCACCTAGGGGAAAATACTTTTGTTGAGAGATAAATGTTATTTCATAGAGTAAGTTATCACCACTGTTTTAGTTGGGGAATGGTCCCCTATTTTGTTTCTTGGACTTTCAGAAAACATAATGCATGGAATTGTGGCAGAACTCTTGCCTCCTTAAATTGTTAGATCTGGCAGGTGGTAGAGTAATTAAACGACTAAGCCACAATGACCATGTCTATTTATAAAAATGATTAAAATCATTTCCTTACTAGTGGCTTACAGCATATTTTAGAGTCCTCAGTAATGGTGATGGGCTTTATAAAATGTCAACAATGATTGGATGTTATGTGAAGTTTCTATAAGTCACTAGTGGGAAAGTGACTGAAGGAGACTATACCCCAATTGGCAATTGGGAAAAACATTATATGGGAAGTAGAAATGTACCATACATTTTTCATAAAAAATATAACATAATATGTCTACCAAAATACATTAAATAACTATTCTTAGCCTTTTTTTCCATTGGAATGGGTGCCGCATAACCTCTTTCCTTAATTATGTATTAGTGTCTTTCTTTCTTTCTTAGTAATATTTTCGAAACATGTAGATAAGTGGTTCAAGACCTGATTTAGAAGTACAAGGTCAACAGTGTAGTAATACAACAAGTTAAACAAGCTTATTGTGCTCAGTTAGACAGAGTTCGTTGCTAATTGACAATTACATTGTAGTTTATATAATCCTTTTAAGAAATGTACAGTCCTAACTAAGCCTTTCTTGCCAAGGGAGATTGTTGGGGGACTGACGCAGAACAGGAAAAGCTGGTAATGTGAACAGACCTGACGCTACTTACTAAGATCATAGAAACACAATATATGTCACAAATATTGAGGAGGAAGTAAATAAATGACTTTTGTTCTTATTCACGGTTGAGAAAACCAGGAGCCCAGTCCTTTAAACATCATTTCTACTTTGAGTTTTCAAACCAACAACTAAATAATAATTCAGGTTTGTTTTCTTTTTCTCAACAAGCAAGATACTATCTCTGTTGTGTCATGTTTTAAATCCTATTGGGTAATACAATAGTTAATTATAGGTTATTTCTAAAACAATTCCTTTTCCTGTGAAGTGCTGAAGGCATTACATTTACAAGGAAGTTGAATATCAATTTATACTGCATTTGAATTTAGGAAAATAGAATGAACCACCTTGCTTCTTCTATCTTCTACCTCTTTTCCCTTCTCATCTCCTCCTATGCATTCATTTGCTGGTAGCATAACATTGAATCTTCAATAGTACAAATTAAAATCAATCCTATCCTTGTAATGAGGATTTTAAGCCAAAGCTTGAAAACATTCAAGCATGCATCATGGTTAGTAGACATGATGAAGGTCATTAAAGTTAAAGATTTCCCCTCAAGTCAACCTTGAGTCCAACTCAAGGTTGACGCAGCCTTCCATCCTTCTGAGATCGGTAAAATGAGGGTCCAGAATGTTGGGGGTAATATGCTGATTCTATAAACTGCTTAGGGAGAGCTGTAAAGCACTATGAAGCAGTATATAAGAGCTATCGCTACTGCTATGTACCATATTTTTCAGAGTATAAGATGCTCTGGACTATAAGACTATAAAGCACTGTGAAGTGGTATGTAAGTCTAAGTGCTGTTGCTATTAGAGCTATAGGTTGGGCTGGGAATTCTGAAAGACATCCTGGCAATCAAACAAGCTCCGTAATACAGCCAAGCATACTATATGGTCATATAATCTCTAGGAGTCCAATTTATCTCAAAACTGGTCTTTATATCTTTATTAAATGAATATTTAATCAAACATTTACAAGGAAGTTGGATATCAATTTATACTGCATTTGAGTTTAGGCAACTGTGGGTTACAGGATTGTGGTTGAATTCTCATGTAATACTTCGCCAGGAATTTTAGTCTTCATTTAAACAGCATGGTGCTAAATGCTACTATAATTTGCACCTTTTTGTTTTACTATGCGTGAAAGCTATATTATGTTTAACTTTATATGGTGATGACGAGTTACTAGAACTTTTCCAACAAATTACAGTTAAAATATCCTGTGTTGGTTCAGTAAGGAGACTCAATTGAAGAGAGAAACAGACACACTTTTGGTGTAGTGTTATGTATGGACTTGGCTTGTTTATTTTCTTATAATAGGTCTTGATGTTAGACCCACTTTTGCAATAGTAGCATTTTAACCTTAGTTCTTTTTCCTGTCCATTAAGGTTCTTGCCATCCAGAACTTCCATTATACCCTGGGCAATGACATCATTGTGCATAAGGATCAACCCAAGAGAAGCAAGCAGGTGGGTACACTATTAAATTCTTCAGTGAAGCATACTCATTTGAAAGGTAAAATGAAATTCATAATAAAATTATGTTTCATTCTTGTTTCTTTGAATTGAAATACTCATTGTACTCTGAAGTGAAATATGGATTAGATTCACTCAAAGATGAACTTAATCTGAAACCTGGATCAATAAAGTGCAATTGTTCTATTTTCTGAAACAGACATGATGGTTGGTTCACTAATCATAGTTGGTTTCTCATGACTTTATGCACTACCTGTTTTAGCATGACAGTGACTACAGCCAGCAAATCTCTGGGAGTATGTTGATAAATTTAAGAAGATTTCAGTTCTGTGATCTATGATTTGCACCCAACCCTCTAATTTTTATTTTATTTCCAAAATTCAGGGTCAAAACCCACTGACTTGGAGAAGCTTGATTTTTTTTTGTCCTCATTTCATCCCATCTGCTCCCTGACAAAAGATTAAAAAATTGGAGGCTTAGCTTATTTTGCATTTTTAAACTTCGCGGGTTTATTTTTGAAAATATAATGTTGCTAGCTCCATCCCTCAGTTATGTCATCTTGCTGAAGGACATGTTCTCTTACTCAGGGGTGGGCTTCAAAATTTTTAGCAAGGGGTTCTCTGCCCAGTTGATGGGTGGGCATGGCCATGGTGGGCGTAGCCTAGTTGGCCTACTGCATCATGGTGGGGGCGGGGGTTGCCTTCCCCGGTTCCGGAGGCTTTCCTCAAGTGTCTAGGAGGGTGAAAATGGCTTTCCCAGGCTTCAGAGGCCCTCTGGAGGCGAGAAATGGGTCTGAACTTCTGGTAGGCCCATTTTGCACCATCCCCTAGCCACCCCGCATGCCCTGTACTTACCTGCATCCAAAATGGGCTGTGTGGGGACTCCTGGGAGGGGCAGGGCTGGGTGGGTGGAGCCAGCCAGGAGTGGGATTTGGGAGTTCTCCGAACTGCACAGAATCTTAGCAGATTTGAAGGCAGAATCTCTCCCATCCTTACCTGGTGATGTTGAGGACATATCCTGCAACCTTCCTTCTGAGCAGCAGATAATAGAATAGAATAGAATAGAATAGAACAGAACAGAACAGAACAGAACAGAACAGAACAGAATTCTTTATTGGCCAAGTGTGATTAGACACACAAGGAATTTGTCTCTAGTGCATAAGCTCTTCTAAGTGTACATATAAGCAACAAGTGATAAATCACAATCATAATCATAAAATACAATAACCGTAAATCATAAGATACAACAGTCAGTGACAGTCATAAGATACTAAATAAAAGCAATCAACATAAATCATAAAATACAAACAAGAAAGTTATAGTCATAAGATGCTGAAGGAATAGGTAATAGGAAAGATGAGAAGGATAATTGTAATACATGGTTTAACATTTCAGAGTATAAGACAGTATTGTGGGAATTAGTTCTTTAGCAGAGTGGTGGCATGAAGAAAAAAACTGTCCTTGTGTATACTTGTTTTGGCATGCAATGCCCTATATAGTATCGTCTTGAGGGAAGAAGTTGAAACAGTTTATTTATTTATTTATTTATTTATTTATTAAATTTATATACCGTCCTATTCCTGAGGGACTCAGGGCGGTGAACAGCGAACGATAAAAAATACATGTAATACAAACGTTAATAAAAAAAAAAAACCAATTAAAATATACTAAACACTCTGGTCCTAGATAATTCAAGACATCCCAGTTTAAAATAAAATCAAAAGCAATATAAAGGGAAAGTTAGGCCAGGCCGGCCTGCTGAAACAGGAATGTTTTGAGGGCACGGCGGAAAGTACGCAGATCCGGAATCTTCTGTATCTCCGGGGGGAGCTCGTTCCAGATGGTGGGTGCCCCCACAGAAAAGGCTCTCCCCCTGGGGGCCGCCAGTCGACACTGTTTGGCTGATGGCACCCTGAGAAGCCCCTCTCTATGGGAGCGTACTGGGCGGTGAGAGGCTATTGGTGGCAGAAGGCGGTCTCGTAAGTACCCCGGTCCTAAGCCATGGAGCGCTCTAAAGGTGGTAACGAAGACCTTGAAGCGCACCCAGAAGACCACAGGGAGCCAGTGCAGCTCGCGCAGGAGGGGAGCCACATGGGAGCGCCATGCTGCTCCTATAACTACCCGCGCGGCCGCATTCTGGACCAACTGGAGACTCCGGGTGCTCCTCAAGGGGAGCCCCATGTAGAGAGCATTACAGTAGTCCAGGCGTGAAGTGACGAGGGCATGAGTGACCGTATTTAACGAGTCCCGATTCAGAAAGGGACGCAACTGGCGAATCAGGCGAACCTGATAAAAAGACCTCCCGGCCACAGCCGTCAAGTGTTCTTATGTCCAGGATGTGAGCAGTCTGAAGATATTTTCACAGCCCTTTTTCTGGCTCGTGCAGTATGCAAATCCTTAATGGAAGTTAGGCTGGTTGCAATTGTTTTTAATCTGTAGTCCTAACTATCCATTGAAATCTGTGTCTGTCTTGTTTGGTTGCTGTGCCAAACCAGACAGTTATAGAAGTACAAATGACAGACTCAATAATTCCTCTGTAGAACTGGATCACAGATGGCTTTCAGATGCTTCAGAACGTGATGTGAAGATCTCCTGCTCAGTATTTGTTTGTAGAGGACATGTCACAAGAGATGGGTATCATATAATTGAATCCTTTCATTCATAGTATTGGGATCCTTCCAGTAGTTTGCGTCCATTGCGTCGCACAAAACGGAGATGGGTGATTACTACTCTTGAACTTGAAGAAGAAGACAAAGGCCCCTTCCCCAAATTGATTGGAGAGGTAAAAACGAAAATGCTGACTTTTTAGCATTACCAACATTTTTCTTCTCTTCTATTGAGCATTGCTGATAGTGAGGCCAAAGTAAATAAGCAGCAAATAAAGGCACATAGGAATGTCTGACTTGGTCCCACATGTGGGATCTATTATCTCCAGCATATTTGTGGACATTTTCTTCATGACCACTAGGCTCATCTGATTTATTCACTTATTTTACATGTTTTCAATTAAAAAACAAATAAACAAAAAGGTAACAAGCTGCAAAGCAAAAAGCCAGCTTGAAGTATAATCTCTATTGCCAAAAATATTTCTGTGTCCTATATGTGCCCGGAGGTGGTAGTAATAGTAGTAGTAGGTCATATTAATAATAACAATAATGATTTTTAACTAGAAGAGTTAAGAATACTTAGAAATCTTACCTAATATTTCCAATCTGTTTTGTTTGTAGCTCTTCAACAAAGCATCCCAAAATACATCCATAAAATATTCAATTAGTGGACCTGGTGTGGATGAATTTCCAGAATATGGATTGTTTTCTATCGAGGATGATGCCAACGGCCATGTATATGTGCATCATTCTATAGATCGAGAGAGGACGCCATCTTTTCCAGTACTTACGTATTTTATAGCGTTTTTCATCTGCTTCAATCTTGAAGAACTCTGTCTTCGGTTAATTGGGGAAAAAAACCATTCCAAAGAAAACCAATCCCAATTAGTGCAACGTTCTCTTCAACCCATCCCAACATACCCAATAAAGTTTGATGAAAGGTGTAATAGATGATCTGCCTCTGAAAAGCAAGGAGGGGAAAGGAGTCACACATACCTCTGGTTTAATGATGAGTCTATAGAATGGGAATTATTATTGGGAAGTCTTGCTAGCTTGTCCATAGCTTTCTATATGTTGTTCCATATATGTGGCATAGAGGGGGTATTCTCAGGAAGCCTTTGTATGATGACTGTTCAGGGTAGGCAGATTCTGTTTTGTCAGTATGTTGCCTGATGTAACCCAGCATTGCATTATCTGTGGTTTTAAAGGTAGGGATCAACATGATTTCAGCCTAAAAATCTATTAGTAAGTGTGCAGCAACTTTAAGAGTTAATCTTCTGCATTGAAATGGATGGCCAGCACTTTAGCCACTGTGTAGCAGCGCTTGTACCAATTGTGTTAGAATAGTCCAATTCAGTAATAACTATGGCATGAGTTAGTGTTGCTGGATCAATTTGGGCTAAGTAGGGCCATAATGAAGTATAGGTAGTCCTTGAGTTATGACAGTTCATTTAGTTGTTTTGCCGGTTTCGGATATGGGATATTGGGTGTTTCCTGATGTAATTTCCATGACCCTGAAGGCCTGCTGAGGGAATAGAATAGAATAGAATAGAATAGAATAGAATAGAATAGAATAGAATAGAATAGAATAGAACAGAATAGAATACTTTATTGGCCAAATGTGATTGGACACACAAGGAATTTGTCTTTGGTGCATATGCTCTCAGTGTATATAAAAAGACAAGATACCTTCATCAAGAATCATAAGGTACAACAGAAGCCAGATTCACTTAACAACTGGGTTTTTAACTTATCAACTGCAGTGATTCAGTTAACAACTGAGGCAAGGAAGGTTATAAAATGAAGCAAAATTCGATTAACAAATGTCTCACTTAGCAACAGAAATTTGGGGCTCAATTGTGGTCGAGGACTACCTGTAACAGCCAAAGCTGAGGGAAGCCCTCCCTACCCTTGGGATTCATTTGCTGCCTAGGCATGAACTGAAAATCCTAGGGATTTGATTCTTTAGAAGGAGTGTGACTTCCATCCAGAACAACTAAAAGTGTTGCTGGGTACTGTGTTTGTTCTGGGGAACAGCAGTTTTATCTTGCAGAGATTTTATCTGAATTTGTTTTACCCCATCCAAATCCTCAAAATTTCCAACCATCAGTTTAGGACTTTCCTGGCATCTACGGATTGGCCTGGGTGGAGATATAAAGGTAGATATCATCAGCGTAATGAGCATCCCTCACCCTGAACTGAGAAATGGTCGAACAGTTTCCGAACTTCTCTCCTAATGGAAATATTTTCTATTATTTCATCTTGGGTTGGTTGATAATTCCTAGGAATTAATTTTCAAGAGCTCTTTTAGTGATGATTTTGTAGTAGTTATGCAGTAGGGTATGCCTGTTGACCAGTGTCAAAAATTTGCCTTCTGGCAAACCTTTAAATCTTAACAAATGTTGGTTTTGACCTTTTGCTCAGCAAACATGTGACAAACAGAAAAAAATTCAAAAATGGGTTTGCTTAATTATCCTTAAACGTCAAATATGGTTGTTTCTAACCTCAAAAATAAACAGGAGCAACAATACATTTCCCTGTTCCTGTTTCAAACAAACAAAAATTCTCTTATTTCCATTCAAATCACTGTAGTGCTAAGTGTTCAATTATGGTGACAACATTACCTCATTCTGGTTTCTAGCACACTTATTATTGATTGTAAGTGAGATTAAAATTTTAAAAGAGAAATGTTTGTCAACTTCTAGAGAATCATTTTCTATCTAAATTACTAATTGATCATGGGAAAAAAGGAAATAGTTTTCCATAGTTCATTTCATAATTATATAACAAGACTATATCTTAGTACATAATCAATTTTAGTACATAATAATCAACATTTGCACATCCTACAGTCCAGCTGCTAAGTCAGGAATGAAATATTCCTGGTCTGTACTTTTCTTCATTTCATTTGTACCCATTATTTTGTGGGTAAACTCTTAAATTAGATTTTTAAGGGTAGCATAGTTCATAAGGATAGTTGAAAAAACAGCCAATGCTTTGTTATTTGTACAGACCAGACAACCCTCCTCAGTGGTGGGTTTCAAAATTTTTTACTACCGGTTCTGTGGGTGTGGCTTGGTGGATGTGGCATTGCTTGGTGGGCATGGGTTGGTGGGCGTGGCAGGGGAAGGATACTGTAAAATCCCCATTTCCTCCCGATTAGCTGGGATTTGGGAGGCAGAGAATAGATGGAGGCGGGCCAGTCAGAATTTTTATTACCAGTTCTCCGAACTACTCAAAATTTCCGCTACCGGTTCTCCAGAACTGGTCAGAATCTGCTGAAACCCACCTCTAATCCTCCTTTCAGAAATATTTCCTTACCAGATTCCTCAGTGCCTTCTACAGTGGCAGAGATTTTAAAGTATTTGAAAGCTTCTTAAAAATTCAGGGAGACATTTAGACATATATCTGCCGTGAAAGTAGTCCATGGTTAATTGGATAGCACAATTGAACATCAGGAGTTGACCACAGGAAATGTTTGATTACGGTTTGTATTATGTCATAAAATGCATTATAGTCAGGGTGGATTTGATTTAAATCGAGTTGATTTAAATCACAATTTAAATCATGATTTAAATCACTAGTAAAAAGGCTTGATTTAAATCAACTCGATTTAAATCATAATTTTTAAAGAGCAACTGTCATCTCTGCTACTCCTTTGACCCACTGTTGACTCACCGATAGTCCCAGTGTTGCAGAATATACAGCCTCATGCGACATAACTAAGCTCCATTTCATGCTGAATAAACTAAATTATTTATGTATCTTAAATAGAAAACTATCTTACGATAGATTTTTACCCCAAAAGTTTTTTATTAAAATAAATTCGATAAAAATAAAAAAAAAATCCGATTTAAATCAAAAAAATCTGATTTTTTTGATTTTTTTAAAAAAAATCATTGATTTTTATCCACCCTGATTATAGTAATGTGTATGTCATAAAATGTTTTATTAAATTTGCCAAATTTCAATTCCACTCGAGTTGTGGTTCAAAAAGATTTGCTCTGTGATGCATTGTTTCACCCAGTTGAAAGTTACAGACATGAGTTTACATAGTATGAAGATTATGGTGAGCCTTGGGAGGCTAAAGTGAAGAGGCTAGATTTTATATATAGCAAAAAGGATGATAATTCTCATCTGATTTCATCTAAACCTCAGCCCTTGTTTGCTGAACTTTTAAACTCATTATAGTTTTCCCCAAGCTAATGGCTTTAAGGTATTTGAGATTGGAAACCTAATCATGAGGCCAAAGACTGCTTAGTTCAATTAATTTATTGATTATACTTTAAAGTACAATTCCCTGATATACTTGGAGGCTTATCACAGATTTTTAAAAGCCTAAGGGGGAAAAAACACCCCATAAAATCTCTCCTCTGGATTCAACAACATTTGACAAATTGAGGCCATACCCACATATATGGCTCCCCTTCATTTGAACTATTTAGTATGGCTCCCAGTGATCAAAAGCTTGTCTGTCTTTATTATCAAGAAAAATATTTTTTGCTTTGTCTTATCCCTTTTAACCTTGTTTTTTAATTAATTATTTACTATTTAGATACGTTTTGATGTTCACGATAGAATGACTGGAGCAATACTAGACAATTCCTTGTTCTTCAACATTCAGATTAAGGATATAAATGACAATGCTCCTGAATTTCTCCAAAAGGAATTTAACGTTAATATAAAAGAAAATCACAACAAAAGTGAGTATCCTTGAAAATCTGGGCAGTATCAGGCAAAACTGGATCCATTGTTTTTCACTTTTATATAGATTTTACACATTTTTCTTTTCTTGGCTATGTTGGGATCTAAATGCACAAAATCTGAGGAGATGTCTCACAATATACATAAATAAATACATTCACCCTCACATACATTACATATACTTTCCTGTTTCACTATTTTTTTTTGACTAAACCTAGCCCTGTATTATGCCATGAAAGAAGGTTGAACAAAGTTTTCCCGTTTAGAACCAAAATATGTTATTTTTTTTCACCTTAGTTCATCTCACCTCACTTCATCTCACCTGACCTTATCTCAATTTGAACCTCTCCTCTCCTCTCCTCTCCTCTCCTCTCCTCTCCTCTCCTCTCCTCTCCTCTCTTGCACTCCCATCACTTCCCCTCTCCTCCTCACTCCACTCTACTCCACTTTGGAAGGAGACCTTGGAAGAAGAATTCTACTGTCCTGTATTATCCATTGCACAAACCATATGCTTTCTTGAACCTTTCTTGCTGTTTCAATCATTATTCTTTTTTTTAATTTTCAAGGATTGTTTTACTGTCATGATGAAATCTATATTTCTCCTTTTTCATTTCCACTTACAAATGCAACAACAATATATGATCAGTAGTGACAGCCCCACAGGGAATATGCAGTTGAATGCATCATTTAGGTACATGCTTCAAGATAATATCTAATTTATTTCCTGGTTTAACAAGGGGACATAACCAAGTTCCTTTCCACAATCAACTATGTATCGGTTTTAGTACTAAATCGGAGATAGTTACTCATATATGTCCAGCTTGTCCAATCTATCATCCATGGAGAGCAGAATTGAATAACCTCTTTGATAGCAAAATATTTATATTGCCACCAACAAACAACAATGTACTTTTTAGTAAGTGTTCAGTACACTTAATGTTTCCAGGAAAATAGCTGAAATGGCTAACTCTGTTTCTGTTGGTATCAATTCAGGGGTGAAATGCTATCAGTTCGGACCAGTTCGCCGAACTGATAGTAAAAAAAAAAAGTTCCGAAGATCAGCTGAGTGATGCATGATCGTCGGAACTTTTTTTTTTTTTTTACTTTTTAAGCATTTTTTACTACCGGTTCTCTGCATTTGGTGCACACTGTGCATGCATGGCCAGCAAACCAGTAGCAAACCGGTTCAGATTTCACCATTGTTTCAAATGTCACTAGAATCAGTTGGAATTTTCATACGCTAAATTTACCATCTTCAATTATTGTACCTTACTCCCATCCTTTTTTTCCTTTAAGATATTAATTAAATAAATGGATTATAATTAATTTTATTGTACATTGTATATGGACCCTTCGTCCATATATTTTAAGCTGTTGGGCTTTTGCTATAATAAAGCCCACCTATTTGTCCTTGCAGCTCTCTCTGAAGATGGGAAAAAGGAGATTAGTATTTTATTTTCCTCACATCATATCCTTGTCTAGTAAGATCTAAGACTAGATGATTGTATAGTTGGCATATATGGGTAGAGAAGGACCTTTTCTGGACAGAAACACTAGGTAGGGGTAATGTCCTTGTGATGTACACTTGAAAATACATATTCTGTCCATAGATCTCAGTGAAATACACAACATTGTTGTAATGTGCTTCAATTTTCCCTGTTGTAGAGGAACCTGTTTTCAAAGTCACAGCAGTGGATAAGGACCAAGAAGGTCTTGAAAATTCTCAAGTGGTATTTTGCCTGGTCTCCCAAACCCCTGGCCTAAAGCCTCCTCTTTTCACCATTGATTCCACTAGTGGCTTAATACACATTACACAATGCTTGGATTATGAGGTACAGTCCTTATGAACAAACTTACAATGATGCTTACTTGAGATCTATATCTTGGCATGCATACTTTCCGGTAAAGCCATCCAATAAAATTTGTATGTCGCCAGTGCTTGTTGATTCTGTCTTCTAGTCTTATAGGTGAATTGCTAACCTTAATCCATCACCTTAAACTAAATGCTCATCTTAGCTTTTCGGAGTATTGCGAATGAACAGTTTAGTGAAATTGAAGGAATGTGGATAGAGCTGGTATGTGGAGCCTTGGAATTGACTAAATTTAACTGCACGTTAGCAGATCACAGAGCTATATTGATCTATTTTCTCCTAGCTGGCCCAACTTGTGAGTTGGTAGATAAAATAAGATAAAATAAGAAGTAAACACCCATGTCTGGCACACAAATCTCCTTGCAAGATAAGAGACTAAAAATGCATATTATTTGTACAGATATTACAAGATAACATTTCAATTTGCCTAACACAGGGATCTGCAACCTTAAACACTCAAAGAGCCATTTGGACCCGTTTCCCACAGAAAAGAAAACACCGGGAGCCACAAAACCCTTCCCGTGCCTGACTATTTCTTGAGCGGCCACAAAACTAGCATATGTAGTTGAATTAAACGTTCTGTTTTCTTTTGAAACTTTTCTTTTCTTGGATTTATCCATGTTTGGCCTACCCGGGGTTGAAAAGCTCAATAAATCGTGTGCCGGCTGTGTCGCACATTTTGAGTGACAGGGAGCGGCAGCAGAGGGGTGAAAGAGTCACATGTGGCTCCAGAGCTGCAGGTTGCTGACCCCTGGCTTAACACTATGGTTCTTTACCAGAGTTTTAACTTATGGCTATAGAATATCATGCAAATACAGAATATGTTTCAGAGTGAATGCGTGAAACGGATATTTTGATAGATGAATCAAAGTGATTCTTATCTATTTGACAGAACTTTGTGTATTAAACTCCTGCATCTCATATAGTCTACTTAATCACAATCTTATATTTTGCCACTGTCGTTATTATTTGGAGGACTGCATTTTTAGGGAGGAATTACGCAAACCACCCTTATTTTACAATTTTTCCAAAGGATAACGTCAAATTTCTTTTGATAAAAAGATCCTTTTCTTAAATTTTACTATCATTTAGGCCAACAGGAATTTCAAACTTGTGATCAGGGCTTCAGACCGTGGATCTCCATCCTTGTCGTCCACTGCAACGATCAATATTGCCGTGGAAGATTCTAACAACAATTTGCCTGTGTTCACTCAAGAAAATGTAAGATGCTTAAGATTACTACTGACAATGTGAAAAACTACTTGGCCCAGCCATAGAAAATAAAAACATCTTCCTTTAACTCATATTTGCAGCCCAGAAAACAAGATTTTTTAAAAAAGTAATAAAGCATACTTTCTTTTTGAAGTCTTTCTTTTTGTGATGGTTAGGGGCACTTGCATTCTTTGAAATGTTGCTGAAGTGCAATTTCCATCAATTCAGCCAATATAGCGTATGGGGAAAGATCTCAGGATCTATAATTCAGCAACATTTTTAGGCTATATATTGCCCACGTTGGTAAACTACTGTATTTTTCGGAGTATAAGACGCACCGGAGTATAAGACGCACCTTAGTTTTTGGGGAGGAAAATAAGAAAAGAGCTGATTGGCAGGTGGATTGGCCTCCCGGAATACCCCCAATCAGCTGTTCCCAGAGGTGAATTTTAGCAACAGGTTCCGTGGTTGTGTGCTCTGTGCCTTCCTTTTTTTTTTTTTGGCTTTTTTTTCTGCCTCTGAAACTTCTGAAACTCCATTTCAGAAAAAACTTTTTCCTGCCTCTGAAAGCCTCCAAAACAGAGCTTCAGAAAAAAAGCCTCTGAAGCTCTGTTTGGGGGCTTTTTTTTCTGAAGCTTCGTGTCTGATGCTTTTTTCAGCCTCTGAAACCTCCGTTTGAGAAGCTGGGTGGGGCTACATTCGGAGTATAAGACGCACCCAAATTTTCACCCTCTTTTTTAGGGGAAAAAGGTGCGTCTTATACTCCAAAAAATACGGTATGTAAGTAGCGAGCATAGAATCAGTTTTGATTGGGAAGTACAAATTAAGAATGGTAACCCTATTGTTGCTTCCTTAAGCAGAATAAGAATTCTGCCGTGACAACTTTATGGGACATCATTATTTATTAACGTATTGGTCCAAATATTAAGGTTTATAGCAAGGAGGTCCTTTTGATTTCTCTCCCTAGGGACAGGCCAATGGTAAAATTATTTTCTTCTATGTGGTTTTCCTGAGTTGGAAGAATGCATTGTAACCGTTTCATTCAGAAAGGAAAGCTGCCATTTGTCCATGCCAGAAAAGGAAAGTGGTAAATGTTATTGGAATAGAGGGGATCTTACTTTTGGCTTCTTACCATTTTAGAGAAGCTCCATGTATCTTCTGCCTGCATAACCCAACTTAGGCTTTTGTCTCTTGGTCATGCAAGACAATGTCAGAAATTATATTTTAGGTGTCAGATAATTCTTTCTTTGTTTTCCAAGTATCATGCAGATGTCCCAGAAGGTAAAACCAAAGATAATATCCTTCGCCTCAAGGTGGAAGACAAAGATAGTCCTAATACACCTGCTTGGAGAGCCAAGTATACCATAAAGAAAGGAAATGAAAGAGGAAACTTTGCCATTGTGACAGATCCTAAAACTAATGAAGGTGTTTTAAGTGTTATCAAGGTAAAGCAGGATGACAAACATAGAGATAAAATTTCTAGAGTCACTGCACTGGCTATATTGACTGTGGGACATGCAGTGCCACTCCTTTGGATCAGAAGTGGGTTTCAGCAGGTTCTGACAGTTCTGGAGAACTGGTAGCAAAAATTTTGAGTAGTTCGAAGAACCTCTGACTGGCCCCAACCCCATGTATTCTCTGCCTCCCGAGTCCCAGCTAATTGGGAGGAAATGGGGATTTTGCAATAACCTTCCCCTGGAGTGGGGTGGGAATGGAGATTTTACAGTATCCTTCCCCTGCCACCCTCACCAAGCCACCCCCACCAAGCCATGCCATGCCCACCAAGCCACATCCACAGAACCAGTAGTAAAAAATTTTGAAACCCACCACTTCTTTGGATAGTATCTGATTTGGAAAGATGCAAGAGAAGTCAGAATGTATTCATGGAAACTTTTGTGTGTGTTTTTCAGCCTTTGGTTTATAGTACACCTACTGAGAGAAGGCTTCTCATTGTTGTGAAGAATGAAGAGTCCTTCTTTATATGCCAGAGAGGCTTTGTGAGCATGATTGCTTCTCCACAATTGTCTGAAGTGTCAGTGAGCATTAACGTCACTGATGAAAACGATGCCCCTCAGTTCAATCCTCCAATTCTTAAGCTTTTTGAAGAAGAAGGGGTGATGCCAGGAACCAGACTTGTACAATACGAAGCTCAGGATCCAGACACAGGACAGCACAAGATGAAGTAAGCTTGTGTCATGGTTGGTGTTCCCCTGTGAATGTTGCTGGAGATCTCTTGAAGTAGCTTTCTTACATTTACTCCTTAGCACAAACACCTTCTAGATCAGGGGTGTCAAACTCAATTTCATTGAGGGCCACATCAGAGTTGTGTTTGACTTCTGGGGGCTGGGGTGGGCATGGCCAGGGTGTGCATGGCCAGCTCGACGTCACTTGTGTCGAGGGCACCTGTGGTGGTCCAAGTGCTCTGCCAGCGAAAATGGGCTTCTGGGCTCTGTTTTTGGCTGCCACGGCCTCCTGCAACCCTCTGCCAGTGAAAATGGAGCTTGAGAGGGCTACACACGGCCCACCCAAGCTCCATTTTCGATAGCAGAAGCACCATGGGCCAGTCCTTTGCTGTTTCCAGGGTGGCCCCACTGGCCAGATCTAAGTACCTCACAGGCCGGATCCGGCCCCCAGGCCTTGAGTTTGACACCCCTGTTCCAGGGGTGGGTTCTACTTACCTTTACTACCAGTTCATAGTGGCGCCACGTGTGCACTTGCTTCACTCGCGCACACTCTTCTGCACATGCGCAGAAGTGTTTTGGTGATGTCGGGGTCAGTGGGCGGAGCCTCCCACTGGTTTTACTACCGGTTCTATAGAACTGGTGTGAGCCGGGGGCAACCCACCACTGCCCTGTTCTAGATCATAGCTTTTTCAATGGACGTATCCAAGCACAGAATACATTTTTCAGGTAGTTTTGCCAAACTTATTTTTGTTACTTTTTGACAGAAGGAACATCCATCGTTACCACCACCATCACTTTTTAAATAAAACATCAAAACAACATGCATTTTTTTGGGGGGGGGGGCGAATACTCAAGTTTTCAAAGCAAATCATGTAGATCTAATGATTTAAAAGTGGGATGAATTGGCCAATTCCACCTTGTTAGGCTTATCAGTTTTATATTTGGGTAAAATGTAACGATATAATCTCACTAAAAACTTCAGATTTGACTAGGTCAGGAAACATTATAATCTAGTCTAGAAATGCTCATGCTATTGCTATTGCTAGAATCCACTCCCCTAATTCTCATCTACAGAGATTCTCAGTCGCTAAAAGAATGCAAACAACCAGCTGTATGCAAGGAATATAAGTCCTTCCATTCCCCACCATCCAGTCAGAGCCGAAGAAGCTTCTTGGATGAGAAGCGAAACGTCTTTAAAGAAAAACCAGAAACTCCAGACACCTCTTGAAAAAAAGCACTTTGGGGCTCCCCTAATTCTTGTCTGGGAAATTAACTCTCATAATTACACAGTAGACTCGGTCAGAGGAACTTTCATCTGTTCTTTTTAAGATTAAAAGTTTATTGATCTGTTCTTTATATTCTTTGTTTGTCACTCATGTTTAAAACATTTGCTTTTTTAAAGATATAAAGTAGTGTCAGATCCAGCTGGTTGGGTGACGATCGATGAAAATTCTGGAATTGTGACAGCTGCAAAAACTCTTGACAGAGAATCCCCATTTGTGAACAACAACATGTACACCATTGTGATTCATGCCACTGATGATGGTAAGTTTATTCTCTTTGTTTATTTGTGAGTTCTTGAGTTTAGGCGAGGTAAAGGCTCAGCAGGAATTCAAAGTCATCTCGAAGTCATCCTAATACAGTTTCGGAACTGGTTTTCTCTATGTGTGTTGTAAAAGTTGTAATGCTAGTATCTTTCTCAAAGGTAGCCTTTTCTAGGTATTGTACAAGTGTTGACACAATTCCCTAGCCCATAGGAAACATCACTATATTTGTGATGTTTGTGTTCCCATTTGTAGGATTTTATTTATTTATTTATTGGTTCGATTTATATGCCGCCCTTCTCCGGAGACTCAGGGTGGCTTACAATGCGTTAAGCAATAGCCTTCATACTTTTGTATATACCTGCTTAGTAGGGCTTTCGGCCCCCCCTAATCGGTGTTCTTTTTTATACAAAGTCAGCTAATTGCCCCCACAATCCGGGTCCTCATTTTACCTACCTCGAAAGGATGGAAGGCTGAGTCAACCTTGAGCCTGGTGAGATTTGAACTTGCAGTAATTGCAGGCAGCTGGTGCTATTTAACAGCACTTTAGTCTGCTGCGCCACCAAGGCCCAAGGATGTATGTTTCACTATGTCATGCATGTAAATAGATCAAGAAATTTAAAATTTAGCCTGTTATTTGGATCTGAATCATTTAATCAAGTTCGACTTTTTTATGATTAATGGAGGATTTTTATTGCTGTTGTTAAAAATAATAGGATGCTTTAAATGCCCACAAAGGAAAATATGAACAAAACGATAAGGGTTTCTTCCATTTATTTTTAAGATGAGAATCTTAAAATGCTTTTCTGTCATAAACCATCTCTTGAAACTAGTTCAACTCTGGCCCACTGATCTGTCCATTTATTTTGAAGGATGCCCAGTTGGAATGATGGATGAGGACTTTAAGTTTAGAACATATAGGATTTCTATATTGATAATAGAGGTGGCCTCTCAAAGACAGTGATGTGAAAAGTTTGCTGAGGAGGTCAGATGTCTACCGTAAAAGTTAAAATCCATCATCACATTCAGTGGTGCATTACATTTTTTTCAGAACTATTCTTACCATTCAGGTTTTGTGGTGGGTTGTGCCTTAAAAGACAGATAAGACCAAAAGACTGGGGGGAAAGTGAGGTGGGGGAGGGAGAGGAAAAAATCTGTATTTGACATAGTTGGATTTGCACTAATAAAATTAATAAAAATGTAAATAATGTCTCCATTAAGAAGAACTGATGATATTATCATATGTGGTGGACATATGTAGAAGCAAAAAAATATTGGGCAAGAATTCGTATGTGGTTGGAGAAGATGACGCAGCAGCATATTGATCTAAAACCTGAGATATTCCTGTTGGGGATTTTACCAGAAAATTATAGTAAAGAAAATGTATATTTAATTATTCATGTAATAACTGCAGCTAGAATTGTAGTTGCACGAAATTGGAAGGGTAAAGAGATCCCTACAGATGAAAATGGGATTAAGAAAATATTAGAATGTGCAGAAATGAATAGATTAACACTTGCAATTAAAGGAAAGGAAGAATCTGATTACTGTAATATATGGGATTTATTTTATCAATGGTTAGAGAATAAATATGAAAGCAATGTATTATAAAGTTAAATGAGTTAAGAAGAGAAATGTTACAATAATAGATATGTTAAATATTAAGTATTAGTATTAAAATGAGAGTAGATATAAATAATGAATATCACCATATTCATTATTTATATCTACTCTCATTTTAATACTAATACTTAATATTTAACATATCTATTATTGTAGGCTTTAACTGTTATGACAATAAAAAGTTGTACCCAGACGACACACTGTTTAATGCATGATGAAATGTTTGTATTAAAAGAAAATAAAACTTTACATTTAAAAAAAGAACTGATGACAGGTGGACCAAGGCAGTCATACAATGGATCCCACTTGATAAAAAGCATCCATGAAAGAGACCTCGATGACATCAGCAAATATTGTGGGTCCAATTGGCAAAAGAAAACTCAGAGCCATATTGGTTGGCAACCTGCAGAAAAGGCCTTCACCCTGCAGCAGATAGACAATGGCTAGAATGATGATGATGATGAATGTCTCCATATTTTTGATTTTTTTCTTCTTTTACTATATTGTAACAAGGGGGCAGCTTACAGCTTCTTCTAGAATTTTTGAGAACCGCATGCAAACCAAATTATGTAGTCTCAATTAAGTAGTTCTGTCTCAATTTGAAGATTCCGTCTTGTTTCTGTATTTTTTTTTTTTTAAAAAAATCTAAATATTGTTTTCTCTCCCAGGCGTTCCACCATTAACTGGCACGGGTACCATCCAACTTTTCCTTTCTGACCTGAATGACAATGCTCCAATGCTAGTTACAACATCCTTGACCATCTGTGAGGGAAATGGAATGGGTCCTTTTCATATAGAAGCTGAGGACAAAGACTCCTCTCCGTATGCAGAACCTTTTACGTTCCAATTGGAAGATGCCTCAGAGGGTACCGAAAAGCTCTGGAGACTGGGAGAGAGCTCTGGTAAATGACTGCTAATTGGGGATTGTCATATCCTTTGATTTCACTTCTTGGCAAGGCTTCTTCTGGGAATGGAGAAGAAGCATTGACGTCTCGAGGATCGTCAGTCCTTCAAGGAAGGCCAGGTTAAAAAACTCAAGCCACATTCCATAATTGATACTTTATTGTTTAAGGCAGTGGCCCCTAAATTTTTGGGTGCCAGGGATTGGTTCTGTTGAGGGTGGTTTTTCCACAGACCTGAGGAGTGGGAGGAGCGTGGTTTCGCATGCTGCCTGGATCCCGTGTGTACATGGATGAGGCTTTGCTTGTTTGCATGGCCCAGTTCCTGGCAGGCCACAGACTGGTGCTGGTTCTTGGCCTGTGGATTGTGGACCCCTGGTTTAAGCTATAATAATAGAACCTTGAAAGCCTGTTTTGAGTTTCTCTGTCTGCCATTTTAGAATAAAACCAAAGTGGGATTATTTTGAATTTCTTTCTCCTGTTTAGTTCAATTTCTGGACCGTGTAATCATTTCTCCACAACTCCCCTAACAGATCTTGCATATTTCTCCAAGGTGATCTTTAAATTGCTTTAATTAACTAATTGATTGATTATGTGCCTTCAATCATTTGCAGCTCCTAATGACCATATAGATAGATTTTCACTAAGGCGATCTCTTCCTTACCTGTTCTTTGAAGTCTCCCAAAAGTACACTCATCACCACTATTACTGAGTCCATTCCCCTTTCTGATGGCCATGTTCTTCTACTTTTCGTCTCCATCTTTTCCAGGATTAGAACCTTCTCAGGGGTGTGCTTCAAAAATTTTAGCAAGGGGTTCTCTGCCCGGTTGCTGGGTGGGCATGGCCATGGTGGGTGTGGCCAAGTTGGACTCCTGCATCACGGGGGGAGAGGCGTTTTTGCCCTCCACGGGCTCCGAAGGCTTTTGTTGAGCCTCCGGGAGGGCAAAAACGAAACGGCCTCCCCAGGCTCCAGAGGCCCTCTGGAGGCCGGAAACAGGCCCGTTTCCAGCTTTCCTGAACTTCCGGTAGGCCTGTTTTTCACTCTCCCCGAGCCCTGCACTTACCTGCATCCAAAATGGGCTGTGTGGGGACTCCTGGGAGGGGTGGGGTAGGGTAGGTGGGGCCAGCCAGGAGTGGGATTTGGGGATTCTCCAAACTGCACAGAATCTTAGCTAGAGGTTCTCCCGAAGCCCTGCAAAACCCCAACAGCCCACCCCTGAACCAGTGGTGGGTTGCCCCCGGTTCGGACCGGTTCTATAGAACTAGTAGTAAAACTGGAGGGAGGCTCTGCCCACCGACTCCAATGTCATCAGAACGCTTGGCCCCGTTGTGAACCGGTAGTAAAAGTAAGTAGAACCCACCCATGCGCTGAACCTTCTCCAGAGAGCTCGCTCTTCACATCATATGTTTATAGTTAGTTTATTTGAGCCTGATCATTTGGGCCTTGAGTGAGAACTCTGGGTTGATTTTTTTGGGTGAACCATTTGTTTATTTTCAAGGTCATCCATGGCATTCTCAGGATTTTCTAAGACATGACTGCATTTTTAACTCCTTTCACATAACATGTTAAAGAATAAATTCATCTTCTTGGTTCGTAGACTACATTGAACAGTAAATAAATCCAACGTTGGGACTACCCAACGTATTTCATTAAAAAAAAAAAAAAATCCAGAACAGGAGCCTTGGTGCTGAAGCACTTCAAAAATAAGTAATTAATGCTGAGTACACTTTTTAATAACGTTCCTTCTTTTTCTTGCTATTGTCAGCAGTTCTTTTGAAAGCTTCTAAGCAGTGAATGTTAAATTTCATTTCTTCAGAAGTATTCAAGGCAGGTGGGCAGCTAGCCCAAGTTGTAGGATTCTCTCCTGGAGCTTTCATTAAAATCCTAGCCAGCTGCAAACGTTTAAAGGGCTCTTACTCCAGTGGGTAGCATTAGCATAAACCTGCTAGTCTTTACTGAAGTTAGTCCTTGGCTTACAACCATTCATTTAATGACTATTTAAAGTTACGATGACACAGAAAAAAGTGACTTACGACCACTTACAACCATTGTGGCATCTCCATGGTCATATGATCAAAATTCGGCAGCTGGTTCATATTTATGAGAGTGTCCTGTAGTGTATATTGGAGGTGGTGACCCTTTGAGAGCTGTATGCAATGAAATTTCATGTTAATGAATGCCGATTAGTGTTCATTCAAAGTGACAATAGTTATTATTGTATTGTATTGTATTGCATTGCATTGCATTGCATTCTATTCTATTCTATTCTATTCTATTCTATTCTATTCTATTCTATTCTATTCTATTCTATTCTATTCTATTCTATTCTATTCTATTCTATTCTATTCTATCCTATCCCTATCCCTATCCCTATCCCTATCCCTATCCCTATCCCTATCCCATGGTCATGTGATCACCTTTTGCAACCTTCTGACAAGCAAAGTCAACGAGGAAGCCAGGTTCATTTAACTGTGTTGCTTACTTAATAGCTGCAATGATTTACTTAACAACTGAAGCAAGAAATGTCGCAAAATGGGACAAAACTCCTTAACTATTTCACTTAGCAACAGAAATTTTGGGTCAATTGAGGTTGTAAGTCAAGGACTACCTACAGAAGCGCAATGATCTTAGCAAGGATGTAATAGTTGAAGTTTGGTGCCCATTTCTCTTCCTTCTCTCTGTTTTGCAGATAATTCGGTTGAACTTTTTCTCCTGAAAAGTCTCCCTCCTGGTGAATACTTTGTGCCTCTCCTTATACGAGATTTACAAGGGTTTTCCCGGCAACAGACTCTGGATCTCCAGGTCTGCTCTTGTCCTGATGGGATCACTTGTGAGCAACGCACTTCATTGAAAACTGCATCACTGGGTCTCAGCGGTGGAGCAATTGGCATAATTGTGGTTACATTTCTATTACTGTTATGTGAGTAATGTAATTATCTTGTTATTTTTACTTGTGGAAGAGCAACAAGCCAAGGATTGCAGTTTGTGTGAAGTCTAGATAAGTATTCCCTACTTTATTTAGCCATTCCCACTGTTAGGAGTTACCAGTTGGGAATGATCAGTCATCATCTGCCATTAAATTTAATCTTATTAAGCCAGGTTTCAGAAGAATTGTAATTGGTTACAATGTGTAAAGTAGACCACATCTTTTATTTAATTATAATTTAGTTTCATGCTCTAATTGTATATACCAACTTTTGTATTCTATATTGTTCTTAAAATCACTCTATAGTCTGCTTTTGGGTTATTGAAGAGCTTTATAAAGGTGGTATGAATGTTGTGGTATATAAAATAAATCTTGGCTAAATTCACATTATGGTAAACAGGGAATTTAAAACCCGGGCTTTTGAGCAAACAGTAATGACATTGATTAAAGTTTACACAATTCTAGTATAATGGATAAACAGAGTGGTTTGATACCCATGCAAACCAACCTATTATGACTTCACTCAGGCCTGTATATGGATTGTCATGTGACATAGGGATGAAATTGTGAAGTAAGCCAGTATGAGAAAATGGGTTGCTTCCAGAAGTTGACTTATTGATTCTAAGATCAAGATCATTTAGAACCTTGGTGGCGCAGTGGTTAGAATGCAGTACTGCAGGCTACTTCTGCTGATCACCGGCTGCCAGCAGTTTGGCAGTTCAAATCGCACCAGCTCAAGGTTGACTCAGCCTTCCCTCCTTCTGAGGTGGGTAAAATGAGGACCCAGATTGTGGGAGCAATATGCTGACTCTGTAAACCGCTTAGGGAAGGCTATAAAGCACTGTGAAGCGGTATATAAGTCTAAATGCTATTGCTATTTACTATATAACTGGGCAAGATTGTTATATACCCCCTCTTTATTATTCTCCTTAACCTATGTTTCTTAAGGATTCTTTTTTAGTTATGAGTATATATATATAGAACTTTGTAGAATATTCTTCTGTCTAGCCTGGGTTTAAATTCCACAATTGGGTAAAGGCAGATGACCTTTCCACTTGATTCTTACAATTTTAATGAGACCATCAGTTCATGGGAAATGCTAGCAAGTCATGGCTAATACAGTCACTGTAGTTCCAATATTTGTTCCACGCTACAGCTGGTATTCTTTTCTTGCTGAAGTGTTTGGCCTTCACTTAATTGAGTGTTTGGGTTTAACTGGATACACGAAACACATTAAATCAATTTGTTTAATTGGTTTATTGGATAAGCCATATGTGGCTGGATCCAACCCTTCCACTGGGCCTTAACCTATGGTTTAGAAATCATCATGTTTTGGATCCACCATACCTGTTAATCCAAAATCAAATAAACCATATGATAGGGAAGCAAGTTGTATATTTTTAGTCCAAATAGATGAAGAATACAGTCAAATGGCTCTTCAATCCTCTTTTTTGTTGCAATTTTACCTTTCAGTGGGCCAGACTGTTGCTTTACGTACTTGGACTGAAATTTTTGAATTTCGATGTCTATTATTGTTGTTAGTTGTGAAGCCATGTCCGACCCATCGCAACCCCATGGACAGCGTTCCTCCAGGCCTTCCTGTCCTCTACCATCCTCTGGAGTCCATTTAAGCTCATGCCTACTGCTTCAGTGACTCCATCCAGCCACCTCATTCTCTGCCATCCCCTTCTTCTTTTGCCCTCAATTGTTCCCAGCATTAGGTTCTTCTCCAGTGAGTCCTTCCTTCTCATTAGGTGGCCAAAGTATTTCAGTTTCATCTTTAGGATCTAGCCTTCTAAAGAGCAGTCAGGGTTGATCTCCTCTAGGACTTACCGGTTTGATCACCTTGCAGTCCAAGGGACTCGCAGGAGTCTTCTCCAGCACCATAGTTCAAAGGCCTCAATTCTTTGGTGCTCAGCCTTTCATATGGTCCAACATTCACAGCCATGCATTGCAACTGGGAAAACCATAGCCTTGACTATACATACTTTTGTTGGCAGTATATGTCTGAGAATCATTAATTTTGGTTATGCTGTTGGATAAGCATATGTTATGAATCAGCTGTGTCCTCACTCTGTGCCATGTGAAAGCAGCTATTCCCCTCTTTCTTAGTGCAACTATTGGCAAAGACCCTCATCCTGAATTAAAAAGTATCCTGTCCCATCTCCGTATGAAATAATTTGGTCTCCCATTCTTCTGTGGTTCCAAGAATTCTTAGAATTAGCAATCAAAACACGTTAGGCTGCTGTTCTGTTTTCTCCTCCTCTATTCCCATAATGCATATTTGATTGTAAGAAAATAAGTTGGGGGGAAGGCAGAAAAACAAAAGGGATGTGATGGCCCAAGAAAAAAAAACTTTCATTGAAACAGTTCTATTGGGCAGAACTCCAACTAAAATGTGAGCAACTAATACGATGCTTGAGAAGGGTGCTGAAGAGATGAAGGGTCTTTAGTGCTCTCTGAGCTGGCTTGTTTTTTCAAACTGAGTGGTGTGGTGGCCTAGAGGTAGAGCTCTCGCCTCACAGTCAGGAGGCTGTGAGTACGATCCTAGGTAGAAGAAGATATTTCTCTCTCTGTGCATACTGAGAATATATCAGCTGAAAAAAATCTCCGCATTGGTGACAGGAAGGGCGTCCGGCCAGTAAACACTCAGCTCCAATCAATTGCTCAGACTCCACCCTGCAAGGGATTATGGGGTTGTTAAAAGAGGATGATGTTTCATTACTCAAACTAGGTAACATCATCGGTGCTAGTAAGGAGTACGGTTTGCTGTCAATTTATATTGACAGCAAAGCACACTCCTTACTAACGCTGATGATGCTACCTAGCTAGGGTAATGAAATGTCTGCAAGAAAACAAGCAAGCTCAGAGAGCACCAAGGACTCCTCATTTCAATCCTCAGCTACCAATGTTATCCTTTACTGGTGTTGAAAAGAGTTGTTGACATTGTCTGTTTCCCCTTTCCTTTTATGTAGTGGGCCTGGCTTTCCTAGTGTTGTGTTCCTGCACCTCTAACGTGGAGAAAACACCTGCATTCATTCCATACGAAGCAGGCAACCAATCCCTGATCCACTACAATGAAGAGAGTGAACATGTTTTGGTGAGAATTAATATCATTGGCTACTTTCCTTGGCATTTTAGGGACTGATCCTAGACTTCTAGCATAAGCCTGTGCATTATACTCTAAAGGAGATTTCACTGAGTTCATTGGAACATATGTGAAAACAAGTATTAGTATGCCGATGTCAGGGTTCCAACCGATGCCCTAATAAAAGCAGGAGCCTCAAGCCATTTAGCAAGAAAAATCCAGCTGTTTATTAGGAGCGCCATGTCGGCACAATCTAAATGAACCCAGCTCTGACTTTACCCAGTTTGCGCCTTGCCTCTGATTCTGTTGCCTCCTCCCCCCCAAGGTGGGTCACCAGTCACATTCCCCAACAAAGCAATTTCGCGGGTCGTAGAAGTCACTCCCTCCCGCCGTTGCAGGTCTCTGTGGAGATGGCCTTGACTTTGGGTGGCTAGGATGTGTTTTGTTTTAACTGAGGTGTGAATTCCTCAGCGCAGCTGTGAGATGTGATTTCCCACCCCCACGCCCCGCCTATGGGAACTCGGGAGCAGGTCAGGAAAGCTTTGTGAGTTGACAGCCAGATTTTAAAGTTTTGTCAATTGCAGCTATCCCAAAAGACTTTCTTTTACCTTATCTATCTGCCTTGTTGTCACTTTTAGAATGACTCACCTGACTCAGGGAACCAAGCAACACCATCCTCAGTGCATGCAAAAAATGTGAAGGAAAAACAACAAGTTCTTGAGGTAATTGGGATAAAGTGTCACCCTTTCTGCAGGCGATCCAATGCTTACAGAAATTATCAAATAAGGAGTGATATGCACCAGCATTGAAAATGAGTAAGATGTTTTTCACTCCAATATTAGTGTCTCCTTTCCACCCTTCTCTGAGGCATCCCTAATCTTGACTTTAAAAATGGATTGATGTGGTTTAGGGTAGAAAACATGACTGTGAGCATTTGATCACCCAGGATACATCTGACTTTTTTTCAACTTGTCTTGAACTGTTCTATAAGCATTGAATATCAGTACTGTTTTACTAATTAAAATGATTTATGGCCCCAGACATGGGTAGTTCTAATCTTTTTGAAAGACATAGTAGATGCTTTGAATTGAGTCAGATGCTTCAATTCACATATCATTGGGCACAATTATACCAGAATTAGGATTATTTTGTGTAGAATAATTCCTTTAATCCTGCAGTTGTATCTAAGAATGGTTTATCCACCAGAACTCCTTCTAATATCCCCCCCCTTTTTAACTACCAAGTAGAGGTAGGACAATTCAATGTCAAGCACACTTTCTTTGGCATTTACTGTAGCAGTAACAACCACAGAAGTGGTCAGAGAGGGGCGAAAAGACAAAACTAGGATTGTGCCATCATGATGCAAGATACACCCTTTGGCATGTGTGTTCGAACATCACTTGTATGCCTCCAAGTGGTGGAGTTTGTGATGTTGTGGTGTGTCACTGCTTCTAACATTTGGTATGATTAAGAGGTATCATCTGCAGATATCCATGTCCTTTTCTCTGACTGGTCATGACTGAGGAGGTCATGACCTATAGGAGGTGGACTTCAGGAAGATGAATAGAAATCATAAACTTACAATGTCAACAGCATACAAAGAAAACCTATATAAAATGTTTTACAGATGGCATTGCTCACCTGCAAGATTAGCAAACATGTATAAAAACAAATCAGTTAAATGTTGGAAATGCAATCAGATACCAGGCTCATACTATCATATGTGGTGGACATGCCCCAAAGCTAAAAAATACTGGAAGAAAATACACACATGGCTGGAAAATATGATAGGATAACTAATGGATCTGAAACCTGAGACATTTTTGTTGGGCATGCTTCCAGGAAATTATAATAAGGGTAACACATATTTGGTTCTACACATTCTAACAGCAGCTAGGATCGCATATGCATAATGTTGGGAAAACCCAGAAACCCCTGCAGACGATATTATAATCAAAAAAATTCTGGAATGTGCAGAGATGGATAGGTTAACCTTAAGGAAAAGAAGATTCAGACTATTTCATAACATGGGAACTATTCTGTAAATGGTTAAATGAAAGATATTGAGGTTAGAGGAGTGGAATTAGGTGAAACATGGGTTATAGGAGAAAGAAAAACAGATGAATAAATATTTATGACGGTTATATAATTGATACTATAATGGAAGATAATATATGTTATAATATGATGTTATCACATATTTGTTTATATATTACCACGTATTTGTTTATATATATATATATGATCATAATGACAATGATGATGTTTGTATGCTTGTATGTTAACCCCTTGGACACCTAGAGAGCACACTTCTCAACATAGAAAGGAAATGCATGATATAAAACAATAAAAAATATTTCAAAAAAAGAAAAGGAAAATGAATATTTTATTGAGAATTTTTCTAAAGATTCTAGATCCTAAAATTTCCAAAACATAAAAAGTGAGGTGTAACTTGATTATTTTATAAATTCTGTATTCCCTTTTGTTCTCTAAAGAATGTTTCTGCAGTGATGCAAATGAAACCCATAGAAAACCACCAACATCTTAATGGAAATGTAACTTCACCCTTCAACACTATCACAGCTTGGAATCAGGTTAGATAAATCATGTGAATTGGGATTAGAAATTTATTGGTAGAAGGGGAGGCAACTGATGATTTTCTGAGCCTTTCTGAACCGCAAACAGGGGTGAAATGTAAAATTTGTTTTACTACCGGTTCTGTGGGCATGGCTTGGGGGGGGGTGGTGTAATGTGACTGGGTGGGCGTGGCCAACTTTTTTTTTGAAACTTTTCAAAGCATTTTTTCTAATGCTTTCAAAAGCCTCTGACGATCAGGCAACTCAGCTGGGATCGTCAGACAGGCTTTTTAAAACATGTTTTGAAAAGCCTCTCTGACGATCAGGCAACTCAGCTGGGATCGTCAGAGATTTTCCAAAGCATGTTTTTTACCACCTCTTCGGCCAAGAGGTTGCAGAAAAAAATGCTTTGAAAAGCCTCTGACGATCCCAGCTGAGCCGCGTGATCATCAGAGGGTTTTTTTTTTACTTTTAAAAGCATTTTTTCATCGGAAGAGGTTGTAGAAAAAATGCTTTTAAAAGTTAAAAAAAAAGCCTCTGATGATCGTGCGGCTCAGCTGGGCATGGGGGTGTGTGTGCAGGGATTTTTGCTACCAGTTCTCCGAATCACCCGCCGCCAGGCGATCCAGTCCGAACCGGGAGCATTTCACCCCTGACCGCAAAGTAGGTGGGAGTGTATTACAAATAGGAATCAGGGCCGGCAATACCTCTTTGTGCAATGGTGGAGTAGATTCTTTGTTTTAATAACAGAATACAGCATAACAGAGTTAGAAGGGGCCTTGGAGGTCTTCTAATCTCAACACCCTGCTCAAGCAGGAGACCCTATACCAGTGATAGCTAACCTTTTTGCCATTGTGTGCCAGGAGCGGGGTGGGTGTGTGTGTGCACGTGTGTGCCCACACCCATAATTCTATGCACCCTGCCCCTGGGCATGCGTGTACGACCCCCCCACTCCCCTGCTCCTGGCACGCGATGGCACGGTAAGCCTGTTTTTTGCTCTCCCCAGCCTCCAGAGCCTTTCTATGAGTCTGGGGAGGGCGAAAATGGCCTTCCCCACTGGAGGCCCTCCGGAGGCCGGAAATGGCCCGTTTGGAGCTGAGCTCATGTGCCCACTGATATGGCTATGTGTGCCACAGGTTCGCCGTCATGACCCTATACCATTTCAGACAAATGGTTGCCCAATCTCTTCTTAAAAACCAATCTCTTTTAAAATGGCTGCAAGCCTTTGCTACAAATTCAAGTATTTTCTGCCTCAAAATGGTCCATAATTGGGGAATTTGGAATTTGGCTGCCAAGTTGGAGCAGATTTCGGAGGTGTTGGATAAGTAACCAAGAAATTGCCCAGTTCTATATTACACAATTAATGAAATCCTTTCTCTCACTGTTTCTAATAGCATCAGTTTAGAACAGGTGGCTAGACAAAGATGTGTTTGAAAGCAAAGTAATAAAATGGACGGATGGATTTTAAGTTGGAGTTGACTGTGAAGCTCCCTTTTTTCCTTCTTTCCATAGCTGGAGCCTTTGAATCATCAGAACACTAAAATATACCAGGAAAATCCACACGAGAAGATTTCAGAAATAGTAGCTGTTGCCTTGAAACAAGTAAGCAACTACAGGACAAACAGAAGCTTCCTTTTTCCAAATACTTAGAATGACAAAACATAGTATATGTTTTGAGCATGGGCTCAACCACCAGATTTAAGGTTTCGTAGTGGTTTCCCTACTCAGTCAAATTACCAGCGATTTCTTTCAGGTTGCGAAAGATAAAAATAGATACCTATTTTGGATGTGAAGTGCTTATTTGTCACATGAAGAAATTTGAGGCTTGGAGGTTAGGATTGCAGCTGCTAGATAGGAAAATTTCTGTACAGCCCTATAGAGCTCACTCCTTTCCATCTGCCATTCTCCATATGAAATGCCACTAAGCACCGTCCCTGATCCCACTCTTAAAAGCATTTTTTTTCTTTTTATGACCCTTTGTTTCAGGGTGATGGGCAGTTCAGAAATGTGAAGAATAAATAAATAAATGCAGTTCAAATGTCACGTGGCTGGTGCCATTTTTGCCAATATTAGCAATAGAATTGGGGCTAGTCAGGATTTTTTTCACAGTGGAAAAAAGTAATTTTTTTCATACTTGCCACCAATGATGTTTTTAAAACTAAAATTACATTCCTGAGCTCTATACAGATAGTCCTCAACTTATGACCACAAATGTCCCCAAACTTTGTTACTAAGCGAGACAGTTAAGTGAGTTTTGCCCCATTTTACACCTTTCTTGCCACGGTTGTTAAGTGAATTACTGCCATTGTTAAGTTAGTAACATGGTGGTAAAGTGAATCTGGCTTCCCCATTGACTTTGCTTATCAGAAAGGGATCACCTGACCCTGGGACACTGCAACCATCATAAATACCTGCCAGTAGCCAAGCATCTGAATTTTTATCATGTGACCATGGGGATACTGCAATGGTGGTAAGTGCAAAAAACAGTCATAATTCCCTTTTTTCCTGTGCCGTTGTAACTTCAAACGGTCACTAAATGGATGTCTCTAAGTTGAGGACTACCTGTTGTGGCCCGCCAGCAACCAGCAGAGCTGGCAGCAGATTCAGACAGTGAGGAGGTTGGGGAGGAACATGGGCCAGTCCTGAAGTCTGGGGAAGGCTTGGACGATGGCTCTGAGTCAGAGGCAGAGAGGGGGGCCAAGGCCATCTGGTAGTTATTTGCTGCTTCCTGAACCTCCAGAGCCTGACATCAGCGAGGCAGAATAACAGCTGGAGCCTGTTCCCAGTGTGTGCATGCGCAGAGCTGACAGAAGACAAGAACAATTAAGAAAACAGGGTCAACTTGGGAGTAAGGCTTGGAGATGATTGGCTCCTCCCATAAGACATAAAAGAGGAGCAAACGAGACGTGAGCTTTTGCAGGAAACAATTAGTTCACCTGGTCGATTCAAGCTTTGGAAAGTTCTGTTTGACTCTGTGCTAAGTTTGGCCTTGCCCTGTGTTTGGCAATTAGTTCTCTGGCAGCATTCCAAGGGAGATAAGGTCGGTGTTTATAAACATTCCCCTGAAAGACTGTTTGTGAAGCCTTTCGGACTGTAAATAACAATAATTCACAGCCCAGCCAAATGAATAAAAGAGGTTTTCCAGGACTAAGATTGTGCTTTATGCTTTCTAAGGAAGCCTAGGTCAGAACACTACCTGTAGTGCACAGCTTTGTGATTAGGTTCAACAGTCTAAATGCTTTCATTCTTTCTTTGCAGAAATGTGAAGACATGGCCAACCTGGAGGATAATAGAGTTTCTTATGTGCCACGTGTTTATGCAAGGGAAGGAGTATTGGAACCAAATGAATCTTCATGGTCCCTTTCCATCCTAGAAGATGACAAAAACAGCCTGCCTGAAGATTTCCTGGGTGTCTTGGAACCTGGATTTATTCCTCTTGCAAAAATATGCAGAAAATGATTGTCGTTTTTGGCCTCTTCTTAGCAAGAGTTTTCTAAATTAATTTATAAAACAGGACTTCTTTTATATGATAAAAAGTGCTCTAGAACCGGGGTTCCCAACCTGTGGGCTACCGGGCCACAGGCTAATTGCCACTGGGCCACATGAATGCACAGCCCCACTCACGCGAGCCTCATTCCGGGGGCCCAAGGCCCCACTCATGCTATCCTTGTTGCGGGCATCCACGGCACCACTCATGCTATCCTCGTCATGGGAGCTTGCGGTCCCGTTCACACAAGCGTCGGCATGGACGTTGTAGGTGCACATGTACACACACACACACATACACACATGCATTTGCCCCAGGGGTGGAATTCAATTTTTTTTACTACCGGTTCTGTGGGCGTGGCTTGGTGGGTGTGGCAGGGGAAGGATATTGCAAAATCTCCATTCCCACCCACTCTGGGGCTAGCCAGAGGTGGTATTTGCCGGTTGTCCGAACTACTCAAAATTTCCGCTACCGGTTCTCCAGAACCTGTCAGAACCTGCTGAATTTCACCCCTGACTTGCCTCTCCCACAGAGCCATCCCCTCTCCCCTGCTCCGGGCCGCCAACCCAGAAAGGTTGGGGACCCCTTCTCTAGAAAGCTTCATATTGTATGCCTATTGCTCCTTTTGTGAAAAAATAAGCACATTCTGAAGTCTCATATTCAGGTCATTAGAAAACTTTTTCCTTTGAGACCAGATAAAGTCCGTGGACAGAGAGAAGACGAGTTCCAGTTTTGACTACTCAGTGTCTGCATCATTCATTTCTCCTCCATGATTGACCACTTCCCCATAGCCATCTGGTGTCATTATTTATGTGCGGTGAGAATCTTGTCTGCAAAAAGATGGAAACACGCTAATTCCCACAATGGAAGAATGGATGGTAAAGATGATGGAGTTAGCAGAGGTAGCAAAACTGATTGTTTTTTATATTTTTTAAATATTTTGTTTTCAAATACAAATAATACAAACATAGTACATATGCATCTAAATACAAAAAAAGAAAGAAAAAAGAAAAAGGAAATAAAAAACAAATATTGCAGTGCACCCCCAACCCCTCAGAGACCATTCCCCCTCTTATATTTCTTCCTCTATAACAACTAAAAGATATACAATATATTACAATTATGCCCTTATCCTCTCCAAAACAACATATATTCTTGAGTAGGTTTATTCCTTTTGCCTTCCACCAACACCGATTTTATAAAATCCCCCCATATTTCATTATAATTATTTGCTTTGATCATCCCTTTTTAAAATTTAATTTCTGTTGTTAATTTATCATTTGTTGCCATACTCCACATTTCATTATACCACTCATTTCTTTGAATATCCCAATTTCATCCCCAATATTTAGCCACTACTAACCTAGCTGCCATTATCAAATTTACAATCAATTCCTTTTTTGTTTCATTTATATCCCGTTTTTCCACCAGCAACAGTAATGCAATTCTTGGTGACATGTCAAAATTTACATTCAAAAGTGCTCTAGTCAGTAGCAAAACTGATTGTTTTAATTAGAGAGAATTTATCTACTTTCATTCTACTTGGAAAGCGTTTCTGGATTTCTTTTCCTCCAATTCTGAAAAAAAAGGTTACTTTGATTTTAGATTTTCAGGGTTAGAATGACTTTGTTGTGATAAAAATGGCTTGAAATGTTGAGAATTGTAAAGCAAAAGGTTGAGGTTGTAATTCTTTTTTTCCCTGTATTTTATTGCCCGAAAACTTCAGAAATTACTATTTTTTTTCTTCCTTTCTCTCAGCACCCTTCTTCCTTCTCCTAGCTTTCTAACGTTTTGTGATCTATTCTTTCTTTTTGTACTTTTGTCTTATAATAAACTTTAATATTTTTTTAAAAAAGAATATATGATGTCAAAACATAAATAATTCTGGATTTTAAAACATAAAGGGCAAATGTAGCTTAATTCTTGAGAAGAGGGGTCATGTCCATTCCGTGATTTGTTCCAATTTATGCAGAAGACTTCCTTTTTAAAATAAAAGTTTTTTATTTTATAGACAAACAAACATACAATACATAATCAATCAATCAGTATACCATCTGAGTACATATTTTGTGTCTTCTTCCTACTCCTCCACTATTTATCATATCTTAATATTATCATTTCATTTATTATAACATTTCTCCCACATTTCTTGGTTTTCTATTAATACATTTATCTATCTTCTTTCTCTTTCTTCTTCACTCATTTCATTACATTATCCTATATATATATATATATCTTCTCTAACCAATGATAAAATTGTCCCCGTACCTTAAAATATTCCAGTTCCTCTCTTTCTTTTATTGTCAAAGTTAATCTATTAATTTCTGCACAATCCAATATTTTCTTAATTACTTCTCCAGAAGACTTCCTTGATGAAAAGTTTCTTTAGAAAATTGGCTGGATGTCTGAGCCAGTCATATACTCACTCTCAGCCCAATCCACCTCACAGGGTTGTTGTAGTAGGGAAAATAGAAGGAGTAAGAAGTATTATTTATTTATTTTATTGGATTTCTATACCGCCCTACTCTCGAAGGACTCAGGGCGGTGAACAGCCATAGAATAAAACACATAAATACCAAAATTTAAAATAGAATAAAAATGAATTAAATAATTTGGCTGAGACAAATTTAAAATACCCAATAACTTAAAAACAAATTAAAATTTACATTTAAAAGGGGAGAAGATTTAGGCCAGGCCAGCTTGATGAAATAAGAAAGTCTTGAGCGCGCGACGGAAGGTGTGCAGATCCGGGATCCTCTGTATCTCCGGGGGGAGCTCGTTCCAGATCGTAGGTGCCCCCACAGAGAAGGCTCTCCCCCTAGGGGCTGCCAGTCAACATTGTTTGGCTGAAGGCACCTGGAGGAGCCCCTCTCTATGGGAGCGTACTGGCCGGTGGGAGGCTATTAGTGGTAGCAGGCGGTCCTGTAGATAACCAGGTCCTGAGCCATGGAGCGCTTTAAAGGTGATAACCAAAACCTTGAAGCGCACCCAGAAGACCACCAGGAGCCAGTGCAGCTCGCGCAGGAGAGGTGTTACATGGGAACTCCACGTCGCTCCCATAACCACCCGCGCGGCCGCACTCTGCGCCAGTTGGAGCCTCTGAGTGCACTTCAAGGGGAGCCCCATGTAGAGAGCATTACAATAGTCCAGACGAGAGGTGACGAGAGCATGAGTGACTGTGTGTAGGGAGTCCCGATCTAGAAAGGGACGCAACTGGTGGATCAGGTGAACCTGATGAAAAATCCTCCCGGTCACGGCCGACAAGTGCTCTTCTAAAGACAGCCGTGAATCCAGGAGGACACCCAAGTTGCAAGCCCTTTTTGTGGGGGCCAATGATTCGCCCCCAATAGTCAGCGATAGCACCAGCTGACTATATCGGGACATCAGAAACCACAGCCACTTGGTCTTGGATGGGTTGAGCCTGAGCTCAATTAGGGATTAGGGATGTTTGCTGCCTTGAGTTACTTATAAAGTAATAAAGGCAAAATAAAAATTGAATGAATGAATGAATGAATGAATGATCGATCTTATTCTAGCATGCATGCAGAAAATCATGGATTGATGTTACAGGAAGACAGAACTCAATTGAACAACAAGAGCAGATTGGACAAGGCGAAACAAACCAGAGAATTGGAAGGCTTCTGCATTTTATATTCAGGTTGGTGCTAAACAGCCATCTGTTTGGAATGCCTCGATTTGGATTAAACATTGAGCAGGGATTGGATCCAATCACTTAATTGACCCTTTCAATGTTACGCTTTCCATGATTTGGGTTGTTGCATATTATGAGTTGTTTCACTTATTTTGGCCATGCGATGTGGGTGAATTCGCTGGAGAAAGCAATTATGTTTGGAAGAATTAACGGTAAAAGGAAACCAGGATGCCAAAGAACACACCATCAAGCTGGACACCATCAAAGTTGACACTAACCAGAGCATAGAACAACTCAAAGAAGTAGTGCAAGATTGGAAGATGTGGAGAGACCTGCCTAGTGGTGGGATTCAGCCGGTTCACACTGGTTTGGGCAAACCGGTTGTTAAATTATCACACATACCCCCGCTATCAAAGTGGATTCTGGGCGCTGTGCTGCAATGGAGAAAAGGGTAATGGAGCGGCTGGCGCAAGGGGAGGAGAAGGCCGCTTTCACTCTTTCTTCTCCCTGCTCCTCCTCCTTCCCTCATGCTGGCAGCTCCATTGCCCATTTCTCCACTGCAGCACAGTGCAGCTCCCAGGATCCAGTGGTGGGTTGCTACCAGTTTGCCCCGGATCAAGCGAACTGGTAGCGGCGGTGGCGGGAGGCTCTGCCCACATTGTGTACAAGGGTGAGTGTGAGCACATGCACGAGTGAACAAGTAGCAAACAATTAAAACCCACTACTGACAGGATCCACTTTGATAGCAGTGTGTGTGTGTGTGTGTGGTCATTTAACAATCGATTCACCCAGGGACAGGTTGGTCGTTGTGGGAGGCTCATCCTGCATGTGCAGCAGAGCTGGAGGACAGGGATGGACCATGCCTCCCATGACAGCCAACCTGACCCTGGACGAACCGATTGTTACATTATTTGAATCTCGCCACTGGACCTGGCCCACAGAATTGCCAAGAGTCGGACGTGACTGACTGAATAATATCATCATGGGTTGTTCCTAATTTTATGTCGTTGCGGAAAAGTGTGAAAGCGCACCTGGTTTTATTGCAAGCGAGTAGTCTTTTCCGTGGCACTGTTCTCAAGTTTCACCGTCTACTTTCTTATTATGAGCAGCTGCCTGTACCAGATTTTAAGCAGCAGAATGTGTTTGCAAAATAAGCAAATGTGTTACTGGTGTGGATTAGTATAATTTGCACAAAAGATAAATGTTCTGAAACTCAGCTGTCATCCTTTCAAGAAGAATAAACAAAACAACAATAAAAATAAAACCACTCCAACAAATCATTTTAAAAATGATTTAATGTTGGATGAATCATTCATTCACGTAGTTTATTTGAAAAACATACTCCCACAACCGTAAGGATGGCAAGCTAGCAGTGTGTTATGCTGCCTCCGTGTGGAACATTTAGCTAGTCCACTTTTTAAAAAATTAATATTCTGTTGCTTTTAAATAGTAACAGGAAAACAAAAAGGAACAAACACGGATACATACATTATCAAAAAACGCATACCTGCTTAAAAGGTGAAAAATACAAAAGAAAAATAAAAAATGTATAATGCAAGTCATTACAACAGTAAACAGTTACAATTCTATATCTAATTATCTAAAGCGCTGTTCTTCCTGTGTCAACTCAGAAAGCTCAAACTGC